AAATACACAGGAAGGAGCTTACTTCTCCGGCATAATAAAGTGCAGCAAGGACCAGAGCTCTTTGAGGGAATTCTGAAGAGGGGTCCCCGTAATCAGGAGCCTATGGTTGGACTTGAAATCAATCAGAGTTTTATACAATAAAGAGTCATCATTCTTCAACCGATGGGCTTCATCCACTCCCAGAAAGGCCCAGTTAATACTGCCCAGCACAGTCTAAAGTAAAAACAAAACAGAAGGAGCCACCAGGTCAGAAGGGATCCCAAAAGTGCTTTCAAGTGTTAATTATCTCGTTACAAATACCCTCACAAAGGTATACATAGACACATTTATTCTTCACTGACTTAATATATATTAGGACTCTTCTGTTTATTCTGCTAGTTGCCAAATTAGAGTCTATTCAAAAGACTACATCATCGTCTAAAAGTATAGGCAGGCCTCTTCCACAAGGTATTACTGCATGCCCCAGAGCAAGAACACAAAAATTGGTATGCTGGGCAGAAACAAAACAAAACCAAAACCCACATGATGTGTATTCTCCCCTTCATTAAGATCCTGCTCTTGTCTGTTCTCCACCCCAGCCCTGAAGCACAGAAACATCAAGAGACACCAAAACTTGTGTGCACTTATTACCAGTGGGACCTACCTACCTATATTTCTTAGTAACTGAAGAAAGGAGATATTTTTAAAGAGCTTCTGTCCTCCTCACAGAGACCATTCACATCATCTGTTCTGGAGAAATGCCTTAACAATGATATGATGGGAAAAACCTGAGATGGCATTCAAGCACAGTTTCCAATAACTGACCATAATCCCAGGTAAGTTACTGGCCTCAATACCCTTTCATTTTGTTTAATTCAATTGGACTAGGTGACCTAAGGTCCCCTTCAACTCTAAGGTTCTGTTTTCTATTTATAACCTTAATACTCTTTGAGGAATTTTTTGGTTGTTCATTTGCTTGCTTTTTTAATAAAGAAAGAAAAATAACATGGCAGGTGGGAGGTACAGACTCTACCATTTGGACAAGTCACACTGGACAAAATTTAGCCTTTTAGCTACCAATTACATACCTTATCTTTTAAGAGGATCTCGTATGTTGTTATAAGTGCATTGAACTTCAACCTTTTGGTTTGGGAATGAATCCATTCATACTCCCGTATCTATAAGAGAAGATGGTAATTAAGACATAATTTCTACTTCTACCTTTCTATATAAGTCTTGTAATAGATGCAATAGAAACATGCCAAATAAAAAAATAAATCTGATTAGAATTTAATGAATATCTCATATATTCTATTAAATAAATTGACCTAAGCAACCAAAGTATGTGTAAGAGTCAGAATTAAAACACTGACCATTGAGCAGCAAAAACCTTATTGCCAGAATTCAAAGAAATTGGCCCCCAGAGACACATGTGACCAAGAAAATGAATTTTGTCAGCAAAAAAGTCACTTCACCACTCTGGTGACTTGAACTAAATTAGAGATCTCCCAGATCCCTAGAAATTTCTTAAAAACATGTAATTTGTTTACCTTTTGAATAGAAAAATTCATTTATTAACAAGTAAAACAAATTCCAACCTCTAGCTCAGTAAGAAAGTTCATTAATCATAGATGAGAGAAATGTGTCCAAGAAAAAGGAAAGGGAGGCTTATAGGATCAAAATATAACTCAATAATATAAAATAATAACAGTGTAAAGGAACACAAAAACTAACACATTCGCACTGAAGTACAACCGGACACTCGGCAAACACAAAGGCTCATGACAAAGCTCTTGTGGTTTGGTTGTCAAGTTAGTAACTGGAGAACAGGACACTGAGTGCTTGCAGGTGATCGCCACCAAGTGGGGAAAAAAGAACAAAGAAAAGGAGTGCTGGAGACTACAAACAAAATTTCCATGACTCCACAATTTTTCAGAGTTCACTTGCTTTATCTGCCTTCACTTTTGGAAGCATACTTTTTTAAAGTCTTTTTTTTTTTCCTCTAAGGGTTAACAAATGAATCAACAAGACTAAGAACTATTATATTCTTAGAAACTCAAAATGAGGGCAATGAAATCTGCCAGGGTTTCAGATAGCCAATTTTAATGAAAGTATTTAATAAAAATAAATTTGAATTAGCATGAAAATGTGATTATAACAGATACCTAATATTTGAAGATTCCTGATGGTTTGCTCTTATTAAGAGCAATTTCCCAGAAACAGTTCACGTATACAGTGGTGAGAGAACAAAGCTCTAGACCAGATACACCAGTGTCCCAATCCCAGCTCTGCAACATTCTAGCTGGCCCAGGGACAGGTGTTAGACTCCCTGAGACAATTTCTTCATCAGTCAGTTGGGAAAAAATACCATCGACTTTGAAGACTACCATAAGTATTACAGGTAATATACATAAGCACCCACACAATGTCTGGCATATATATAGTAGGTGCTTCATAGAATAGTCTGTAACAAGAAAAGACTTGCTAAACAAAGATAAACCTAAGTCACTGTGTTTTAAATTCATGATGCCCAACTGAAGTTTGGTAACAGGCAAATAATTTTCATTTCCGCAGCCATAAAATGGTTTGTTTTCCTTTACTTTTAATTCCTTTCTTAAAAAGTTATGTAATCTGTTTTAAGAGATTGGGAAATAAATTCTAAGGCTTCGATTATTTTTAGTAATATCTCTCTGCTCAAGTAACAAAAATAGTATGTTACACAAAGTATTAACTCCATCTTCTAACACTACATAAAGTGGTCTTAGAAGTATAAAGGACAGAGAGAAGAAAAAATACTGCAATCCACCTAAAAGAGATTCCCATTCATATATTGCTGTTGCTTTTCTTTAAATAGTAAACATATTTGTTAAAAAATACCTGAGTTGCATTTTTGTAACACACAAATCTCCTAATATTGGAGACATAGCACAGTGTCAGAATAATAACTTTACTAAAGACTTTACTAATATTTCAACTAAAGGCTTTAAGTCAATTTCCAAATTACATTTATAACACAGATTCTATCCCAACTCTTTTTGTTTACACACCGTATTTCTGCTCATCAGGTCACCTATGTAAACCACTACGTTAATCTCTGGTGCCCAGATTTCAAACTCCCTCTGCCATGAGGTGAGGGTGGATAAAGGGACGACTATAAGAAAGGGGCCATACAGCTGGTGTTGGTGGAACAGGTAGGAGAGGAATGATATGGTCTGGATGGTCTTTCCTAGGCCCATTTCATCAGCAAGGATTACACTGTTACTTCTGCAGAAAGAAAGGAAAAAAAAAAAAAAAACCAAAAAATCGTTAGTTCACCAAAAAACAGTACACGCACAAATAGCAATGACACCAGTGCTTCATGGCGACAGCCAAGCAAGGCATCATTTGCGAGCCTCAAAGGTATTTTCTCTCATCTGCAATTACTTAAGCCTCCTACATCAGGAAGAAAGTAGAAGCCATAAATAGCAGAACAAGTGATCTAAGTATAATCAAGTTTTGGATTACTATGGAGCCTACTAACAACATGTTATTTACCTTGATTTAGGCATTTTATATTATCTTCCATAGGCTACTCCTTATAATAGAGATGGGAGGTTTTGTTAAAGGTGTAGACAAGCACATAACCTTGAGATCAATCGATAGAGAAAGCATAGGCAAACTGACTATATCCACCGCTAGTAAGCCCTATAGCCTGCCCAGTCACATACCTTTGCTCAAATTACCCTCCCTTTCCTACTGCATGCCACTACGTTGTTTAATGCTATATACGCTATTCCCTAGACCTACATGCATAGGTGCATAGGGCTTGTTTTAAATACACTACAACCTAAAGCGGGAGTAGGCTACAGATCAGATTTGTGGACCCCACCCTAGACCTACTTGAATGAGAGTATGTGGGAAAAGGCTCAGGATTCTGTATTTTCAACAAGCACCTTTGGAGATTCTGATTCAAGTGTTCCTTGGACAACAGTCTGAGAAATAATACTCCAGGAAACAGGCTGGATTTTAACAGGATATTCATAGGAGAAAATTTTCCAGATACAAGAAAAAAATTGAAGAAATGACCAGAGTTAGGAAAATATATTTGGGAAATAGGAAACAGCCAATTTTATGGCTGGGAATCTTATAGTCTCATCTGATATCTTATTTAGATTTCAAGATAATTATAGCCTTATCCTGGTTTTACAGATGTAAAACTTTCAAGAGATTTACCAACTTTCCTAGAATAGTTTCTATACTGGAAACTTGATGCTTTTACAAGTCATTATGATTAGGATGACTGATACAGGCTTAGCTTTGTGAGAAAACCTAGGTAATGAGTAGTGCTGTTCATATTACTTTAGTTCTATGGTACATTTGTATTTATAACATTTTAGCATAGTACATTTAGAATGACTGCCTTTGATAGCCTTGTTTAGTTCTGTGTGTGTGTGAGTGTATGTGTAAAACACCAGTTAAGAACACGGGTTTCATTCCACATAAGCATTATACAGCGCATATAGTAGTTTGCAAGAGATTGTGATGATTGTCATTAAATTTTAACTATATTCACTTAATATTCTGGAACTGTCACCTTAACAATGTTAAGCATCTAGACTAAAAGCCAAAATATAATTATTGCTGCCCTTCTAAAACCCAAAATGTAGTTCTGTATTAAACTGAAATGTACACTAGCCCAGTGAATGGTACCTACTGAAGTATAGCATAGCTGCTTAGCTATATTTGAGATTTTCCCAGTCAATGCTTAATGGAAACTTCTTTCTTATAAAGGATGCCCGTATCACTTTCTGACAAATGAACTGCTATATATTTAATGTAAAAATTCTTACACTAAACAGGATAAACTTTTGACTCCTTTTTTTCATTTGTACATTAAGTGGGATAATACTTAATTTTGGCAGTTGAATTTTAACATTATGTAACCTAGCTACTTTGGGAGGGTCTTAACATGTTTTCCTGGTAATTTGTTCCATTTCCGCATTCCTCCCTGCAAACAAAATGACAGTGACACTTTATCCATATGTTTTTTTTCTTTTTGGTTTATGTCTAGTCTATTTTAACTAAATATGTATAAGAAAAGAAAATAGTCTATTTGGCAGGAAATTAGGAACACATGTATGACATAAGGCTGCAAACATTATTAAAAGGTTCATTATTAAAAGCCACTGAAGGTTTGCACAAATACAAATATACACACTCAGTGAGCCAGAGGGAACTAAAAGTAATATACAAGGTAAAGGCAACCTAACTGATTAGAAAAACAGAACATTTAATTCACCAAAACGAGAGAAAAAATTTTAAAAATACATTCTGTGTTCCACAGAATGGCTAGTTTGAGGGGAAAAGTACAGCAAAGAACAAAGCAGACCACATTAGGGAAAGGGAGAATGGAAAGTCATACCTCTATAAATCTCAGGTACACCTAATTTTCTGTACAATTTAGTTAGACACAATAATTTCCTTCTCATTTCTCTCACCTTTTCACACTATTGAGGAGGAAGCAGAGTTTGGTTTCTACATGATTTCCTCTCCCTTAGCAAACTGCCACTATCTACATATAAAGACTAAAGTAGATGTGAATTGATTCATCTGTTTTTCTGAAACCAGATCAAAACAGCACATTACTTAATGTAACATGTCTGTGACCAGGGCGTAACAGCTGTGCTTGGGCTCTTTTAAGTTAACTTTTATTTCTTCAGTTTAAAGTAAAAAAAAAAAAAAAAAGAATGCCAGCCAAAGATGGTACAAGGAAACTGTGACTTTAGACAAGGTACATGGCACCTTTGCTCCTAAGAACTCTCAACTATAAAATGAGAGGGTTAAATTATACAATTTCTTAAAGTTCATCTAGCTTTTTTTTTTTTTTTGAGACAGAGTCTCACTGTCTTGCCTGGCTAGAGTGCCGTGGCATCAGCCTAGCTCATAGCAACCTCAAACTCCTGGACTCAAGCGATCCTCCTGCCTCAGCCTCCCGGGTAGCTGGGACCACAGGCACACGCCACCATGCCAGGCTAAATTTTTCTATTTTTAGTTGTTTGGCTAATTTCTTTCTATTTATAGTAGAAACAGGGTCTCATTCTTGCTCAGGTTTGTCTCGAACTCCTGAGCTCAAGCAACCCTCCCGCCTCGGCCTCCCAGGGTGCTAGGATTACAGGCATGAGCCACCGCGCCTGGCCTCATCTAGCTTTTTAACTAACTTTTAGGAAGGATAGGGTCCCACTATCCTCTGCAAGGAAAATCATTTTCAAGCAATTTAGAATAGTTATATCAGGCCTATATCCTCAGTCATACAAAATGAAGTTTCTCAAGATACTTATAACTTCCATAATTGAATATTAAATATTGTATTAGATTTTACAGTACAAAGAGTAGTAGATGGTTCACTTGGGAAACAGTCATTGTAAATGTACCTCTGTAGCTAGAAACAGTCTTTTTGGCATTGAAAAAAAAAATCCGTGTTTTTATTTTTAGATAGCACTTTAATTCTGAAATAAAGATTTTGCTTTTACTATAAAACACTGAAGAAATGAAGAGTTTGCATGCAGGGAAAGGAATATGTAGGTGGGCATTAAAGGTACTTTTCGCACCGTTATGTTCAGTAAGGACAGTGAAATCATGGCTGTCTGGGGTTGTTGTTAAATTCTCAAGGCCTGGATGGGTCCCTGGCATTTAGCAATTAGGAACTGCTTGAATTTGTGACTGAATTTGGAGAATGAAGTGTGTAAGTAGTGCCCTAAAGTACCTTTACCCCTCAAGAGCTATCATTGTCTCATCTGTTTCTCTTTTTTTTTTTTTTTCCAAGATTAAGGAGTAAGGATACTTTCACAAGATCAACCATCAGAGACCTTCCTCTACCCAGGACAGCCTATACAGATGTGAAATCACACACTCTACAGCAATACCACAGGAAGTTAAGCTAAAGGTTTCCCTGGCCTAGAAAGAAAACACATGCAAAAAAGATATTTTCTTCTAAGAATAACTAACTCCTTCCACATTAAAGATTTGGGCAAATTAACTTGCTGTTTACACTCATGAGTAACATATTATGATGCAGATGCAGGTTTCTGGCTATGACAAATTACCCCCAAAATATCGAAATAACAAAGTACTCTTTACTTCAGAATAAAATGGTATTACACATACATAAAAACTCCCAAGAGGGGCTTCTCTCAATCACATGATTTTATTTCTATAATACAGAGTATGAAGAAGTAAATCTTTGTGTCTAACAATAACGAAGCCAAAAACAGTAAAGAAAACTTCAAACATATTTTTCTACCTACTTGCACCAGGAATGAGCAAGCCAGTTGAGACCTTCTAGCTGATAATCTCGGAGCTCCAGATTCTCCCCTCCTAAATACGCTGGCTGTTTCTTTAAAGCTACAAATCGTGGTCTCTGCTTCAGGGCCTGATAAACAAAAATTGACAAAGCCCAGGTCTGAGAAAATTTTCTTCCTGCTCTTAATGTTAAAATGCTAGCCACAATTTACATACCCGGCACCAAAGTGTAAAAATTTAAATTGCACACATAAACCACACCACCTCCACGCACCACTTTCTTCATGGTCTATATTCCCAAAGCCAGAGTTCATCCTAAAATACAATACTTTTTAGTTAACTTCCTCCTTTCCCGAAATAAGCCTGTGAACATCATTAAGTAGCACTTTATTTTCATATCTTCTCTACAGTATGGCAGTAAGAGTCTCCTATTCTCACAGAGTTACCTTTATCTTATTCTAAACACTACAAAACACCGCCTCTGCAAAAATCCGTCATATGCTAACTGCAGCTGAACTTTACCACAATGGGATTTGTACAAATTCTGAAACACAGCCCACCTACCTTAAATCCCCAATTGTGTGAGTTTGGTTTTCTGAAGGGAAGGTCTTCACCTCCAAAGGTTTGAAGAATAGCATTTTAGTAAGGCCAAGTGTCTATGGTTTGCACAAAAGGTGGATTCTGTGGCCATTGAATCAGTTTGGGACACAACGGATCAAAGTTATACAAATTTCTTTACTCATGACTTTTCAAAGTCTAACATGTATGTCTATAGTGTAAATTTCCAGGAAAAATTCATTCAGAAATGCATCCCAAAGTTATTTCGCCACAGAAGTCCTTTTACAGGGAGCATCTCTCTGAAGATTAGTGCTCTACGGAGTCTATTATGAGAAGCATCATCCTAATAAGAGTATTTGAAAGGTTACTGATGGTTTCAGCACTCTTGTGAGACAGAGTACCTGGCAGTGAACAGAATCTGACTCCTCACTCTTACCCTCCAAAAACCAGCCATCCATATACTCCTGCCAAACCTACCCCATAATTGTTCTCCCATCCAATCCTTCTACACCAGCGCTACGCTACTTAGAGCTTGAACTCTCACTAATTCTTCATTCATGGACTTCTATGACATCTTACTGGCTGGACCTTCTGGCTTTAATAATTACCTACTCCAGAGTTTCCAACACACTGCCATTAGATGAAGCTTTCTAAATAAAATACTGTTTTCATCCTGCTGCTACTCTATCCCACAAGATAAAGTCAAAATAACCCTCAAGGTAGTCAAGACACACTTTGACCTCAATGCACTCACCAATTATCCCCCTTTTCCACCACCGGGGTCTGAAAGTTCTCCTATTGCACTAAAAGAATCGTTCTCTTGATACCTTTCACAGGAGGCCCGTACCCTGGGCCCCCTCTTGTCTGTCTATCCAGCAGAACCAATCCATCCTTGAAGGGCCAGGGGCAGTGCAAGCACCACAGCTTGCTCTTAAAACCCCTTAAATGACCACTGGAGCGCAGACCCTTCTCTACCTGTGTATTTCTCTGACCACATATTCTCTATCACACTTGTGTGACCTGCAGTTACATAGTACTTTCCATAGATAGAATTTTGGTGCCATTAACTTGAACATCAACCTCTCAGTGACAGAGCCCATGTCTGATACACGCTTTTATTAATTTGAAGACCCAAGCACAGCACTTTCCAGATGGAATAAATTCTAAGGAAAAGCATTTGTACAGCCAATCTAGCAAATAAGCTTATATATTTAGTTTCTAACTTAGAAGTCAAAGACACTCCCTCTTTTCCTGTCACTTTTCTCTTTTAAAATGCCGAAATCCTTTCAAGTATTCTCCACAATAAGTCTATTTCTAATTCTGTAAATTATAAGATTAAAGAAGTCAGCAAAGCCACTATACAATTCATCTTCTCTTTTTGCTTTATTTTCTTTAATGTCACATTTAAGTCATCCTTTTTAACTTCGAAATAGGAATCATCATTTACTTTTGTAATATTTTCTCTTTTCAATATCTATGTGACAAACCCTTTGTATCAATACATCTTTCCCCTGAAAAACCAAAAGCCAACGATCACCACACCTTGCATTCTCTTGTAGGGATGGTTTTTGAGTTGTTCCTACTGTGGAAGCTATCGATGCAGTTCTGAAATTTCTTTCCAATCAGGGCTTCATCTTCCCAGCTACACTCTGAATAGGGCAGTCCCATCCATTTGCAAAGATATTCAGGTTCATTTGAAGGTGCCGGCTTCCGACTATGAGCTATTTTGTATACAGAAATTTATAGATCAACAACTGTCAATTAAAGATGGGAAGTGATGTTCTGTTTTATGCATAACCAATGAAACACCAGGTGATAAAACTAAATAATCCGCAAAACATGAACTGCTCTTAAATGCTAAACGTTTATACATAAGATCTCTTGCTTACCTGGAAAATCTGTTTGACCCAATGTAGATTTACTTGTCTTCACAGCTAAACAAATGCAAAGTAAAACAGAAAAGTTATAACTATAACCAAGAAAAAAAGAGAGATTTTAGGTTCTATGAATAAGAATACATATATATTCTACCATCTCACATCTTAAAAAAATAAATCACTCTCAGGCTAATATGCTGAATCTCTGTTCACCTTTATGAAACTCCCTCAAAGAGCTATTTACACTCACTACTCACCTCCTTCTGTCTTGAACCCACCCTGATCTGGCCTATACCCCATCACTCCACAGATCCCTTCACCAGTGTCATTCTGTTGCCAAATTTTCAAGGACCAAGTCTCAGTCCTCACGGTCCTTTAACTAATAGCATTCCCTCCTTCTCGGCCATGTGAATCATCTGGCTTCCAGTAGCCCACTCCCTCTCAGCTCTCCTCCTATCTCACTGGCTATTCTTTCTAAGTCTCCTCTGCTGGCTTATTTCCGACTTCCAAAAGCTGAAAAGCTCTCACACTTCCTCTTCTCACCATGTATACTCTATTTCTGATGATCTCGTTAAATCTGAGGCATTAAATACTACCTACACACTGATAAATTCCCAAATATAAATCTCCAGCCTAGACTGAGTTCTAAGCTACAGGCTTACATATGCTCCAGACTTCATAATACCATCCACTTAGATGACTAAGAAATATATCAAACTTACAAATATCAAACAAAGCTCTTGGTTTCCACTACAAAAATCATCTCTTCCTTTCATCTTTCCATTTCAGTAAATAATATCTCTCTTCTCCTATAAGCTCAAGCCAAAAACCTTTATATTATCCTTAACACCTCTTTCTCTCATCCTCCACATCCAAATTTACCAGCATATCTTGCTAGCTTTTGTTTCAAAATAAATCGAGGCATCAGCCTCGTCTCAAAAAGTAATGCATTTTTTAATTTACATTACTCCAAAGAGCAAAAGCCAGTATTCCTTGAGCTCAAACATGGCTAAAATAAGTTTCCATGTACTTACCTATTACTCTTTCTACTATCTGATACTGTTTAATCAACTCTGAGGCCAGCTCCTGTTGGCAGTTGAAATATTCCACATCTTCAGGAGAAACTTTCCCTAACCTGGATGGAAGACAGATAAAAAAAGTAAATCCTAATTAGAGTTTAGGGATCCATAAACAACATATCAAGGCAAAAGTCAAAGGTGAAAAACCTATTTTTAACTTCCATCTGTCCCTTTAGTAATTTTTACTAGTAATTAGGCCAGAGATTTTACAAAAAAAACACTTTTAGAAAACACTAAAAACCTTAGACTCACAGGAAGGTATACTAGTTGTTTGTCCCTCTAATGTGTTATACCTAAGAATAAACCTAAAAGTAAGTATTTCATGTGATAAATTCATATAGCTAAACAGATCAGGACAACAAAACTATCTTCCAGATTTAAAAAAAAAATACCTTTCCTCATAAATGTATGAGTTTATGTATCAAGATTGATTTATGACGTTTTTGGAAAACTAGTTACTCTTAGTACCAAAAATCTTTAAAAGGAAAGTAACAGCAACTTGCTATTACATATTACTGTATTTCAGAGGATTTCAAATTTCTAATTATTTTATAAACCTAGTCTTCTACCTTAGGGGTACATATTTTTGGTTTGGAGTCAAAGGAAAAATATATAATTTACTAAAGTAGCACATTTTGCATAGTAGTAAAACCAGAATTAGAACCATTTGTCCATATTCCGGAAACAAAAATTACCTGATCACATTGCACTGACAGGTATATCTTCAGGTTGAATCTGGTATCTCATTACTCAGTTTAACTTTCTTTGTGCTATAGGACCACATATTTCTCATATGCAACCTAATGCATGCAAAAGCTGTAAGTAAACTAAAAACACAACGGACTATAACAGTTTTAGAAGTTATCTAATCATGTCTTTCATATCATTTCTGCAAATTGTGTAAAACCAACATTAATTGTAAGTGTATCATAACATAGAGAATTCCAGAATATTAACTCTTCGCATTTAAGCTATCCCAGCCTAACCACAGGAAAATAGCAAGGTGTTTAAGAAATGCACTCTGGAGTCAGGCCGCCAGAATTCAAATCCTAGGTCCACTTGGAGAGATGGGTCCACTATTCCCATCTATAAAACAGGGTAACAACAGTACAAATCTCATGCGTTTATTCTGAAGATTAAAGAGATAATGTGTGGAAAATGCTCAATGAGCTAGTTAGTATTATTAACTCTAAAGACTTGGTAACCACATACAAAAATATACGGTCTTCAGGTCACAATTTTATAAAATAGAATTGTAAATGGCTTCATGTTCAGATGATCAAGGCAAAAACTCAAGAGATCCTAGACAGCCGTGTTCTCCGTGCATTACTTAAAAAACCATCCCTTCTCTCAGGCAAAATATATTTTTTTAATCCATGATGGAAAATGTACCATTGCTTGATTTCATCCTCTTTCTTCTTGAAATTCTCTAGTTTTTTTAGGCCTTTTACTTTCTGTTGCTGTAAGGATTCTTCACTCTCCCATGTGCTGTGAATATAAGACCAACCCTTCCACTTGATGAGGTATTGGATTTCACCTTCATCCTTTCCAGCGTCAAAGTCACCACTAGGGTCTCCATTAGCTTCAACTGCATATACAGTAGTAGAAGCTCCGGTGGCTATAAAAGGATTAAATTAAACTTTGTTATTAAACTAGACATTGAAAAGCTTCCCAAGTAAGCAATTCTCTAAAGAGCCTCTTTTTGGATGAAGCACCAAAATCCTTTACTTGAAATAAGCAGAAACTCATAAGTACTCATTCGATCAATAATTTCAAATATTTTAAAAATGTAAACCCAATTTTTATTGTATTCCAAAATTTTCAGGTGAAATCAAAGCAATTCCTTCTCCATACAAAATAAAAATAAAGCAGCAACATCCTTTTGTTTTGGTCCCTTACTAACTCAGAAAATAACTCCTTCTCTCCAAAAATAAGAATAGAAAATCAACATATACTCTCCCCCAACAAATGTCCCCTCACCTAAAGTTCCTTATTAACTCTCTTAACTTCAAGTGAAGCCAGAATGAGAAAACAAAAAAGACAAAGGAAAGGAATTAAGTATTATGTTGATATTTCCTTTATGGAAAGGTTACTTTGGAGCAATTAAGTTATGAGACATCTAAATTAGATACAAAAAAAATCTTCACTCTATTATCCAAATAGTATGTAACCGGTTTGGTATTTTCAGAAGATTAATAAACAACTAAAAGTAGATTTGGTTAATGTTAATAAGCAGGCATCTCTGCTACATCACTGCTTTATGAAACATTAAGTTATCTATACTAGCTTAATTTAAAATCTTAAAGACATATTGGACACATTCCTTTGTACTCAGCTCTGAAACATGAAGATTCATTTCACAATGAATACATGAGTGGACTGAAATTCATCACAGAAGAGTTAAAATACTTAAAATCTGAACTTTATTGAGTAGATACAAACAGCAATTTGCTTCCCGAATATATATTACCTCCTTTCTTTCCCAGTCTTGAATCTAAGACCTTTTCAATAGTTTCACTGTTATCCTGTTGCTCATCAACTCCTTCTCCAGTCATTTCAATAAGATCATCTGAGTCAGTCTCAAAGTCATCATCTTCTTTGTAACTGCAAGAGGAATAATGCTGAATAAATATCTAAAAATAAACTTATCTTTTCAGAATTAAACACTTCCATACATAACATCACTAGAACAAGGAACCATACCCTTTTGGTTGCAACATGCTGTTTTACAGATTTGCCATTCAGTGAGCACAAAGCTTATTTCTTCCCTACATAAGCTACTGATGTGTGCTCATAGGTAACTGCAAAAAGGCTAACTCCTATTTCAAACTAAAAACACTACATATTTATGCTGTGTAAGCAAGATACAGAAAACTACAAGGGCCCTCCTATTTTTTCATTTTTTAGTATCAGATTATTACTATGTAAACAAGGAAACTACCGCAAAGAAAGAAAAAGCATACTGAAAGAAAAAAATTGCTACTATTTCATCAGGCTAAAGGGAAGCAATATTTCAAAGATTAAATTCTTCAACCCTGGATTTTGTCTCCCAATAACAAGAATATGAAACTTAAGTACTCATAAACTGTTGGGAAATTCAACACATGTACTTCCTGGGAATAAAATATTAAGATGTAACCTTCCACCATATATTAAAAACAAATGGCTTAAGAGTCATGAAAAGGTAAAATATAATCCTAGATGCAGTACTGTCATAGTAAGGAAAAGTGCTAAGCTATACCCTAACATACTCAAGCCTAGTCCTAGCTTTGCAATTATTAATTGGATACACTGGGTAAGTTAATAGTATCTCTAGGACTCAGCTGAAAACTCATAAAGAAAAATTAAATGTTTTTTGATGCCTATAAAGTAAAATATTAGTATTTGCATATTATCTATTTTTTTATTTCACTTTCTATTAATGCTAATATCCTACTAGTAAGCTTGATAAAGTTATCATATCCAAGTATCAGTACATAAGCTAAACCTCAGAAAACTTTGAGGGCCAGGTGTGGTGGCTTACACCTGTAATCCTAGCACTTTGGGAGACTGAGGAGGGAGGAGTGCTTGAGACCAGCCTGAGCAATAGCGAGACCTTGTCTCTACAATTAAAAAAAATTAGCCAGGTGCAGTGGTGCACACCTGTAGTCCCAGCTACTTGGAAGGATGAGGAGGAAGATCACTTGAGACCAGGTGTTCAAGGTGGCAGTGAGATATGATCACACCACTGCACTCCAGCCTGGGCAGAGCGACACTTTGTCTCTTTAAAAAAAAAAAAAAGGAAAAGAAAAAGAAAAAAAAAAAAAAGAAAACTTTGAGTCAAGGAACAATTCCAAAGTGAGAATATATAATCTAAACATCTTTCCTGAAAAACAATATGATGAAATGAATACAATGCCACCAAGCCACCACTAACAGGACGTGAACTTGAAGCAAATCTCTATAGGAATGAAGGCTTGCAATGACCTATTGCTAGTCTTTTCATATTGCCTTTGGCTCAACATCATTCCTTTTGCACGAAGGCTGACCAAATTTCTACAAGTAACTTCGGGGCATAGGTTGTTATTTTTACCTATCAAGTGCACAACTCTGGACTTATCAGAAACAAGTTCTAACCCTCACCCTCACAGCAATGAAAGTTTGGGGCACACTTACCTAACATTTTTAGCTGCTCTTCGACGAGTCTGCCTTTTGGGAGCTTCATCATCTTCATCATCATCATCAGAAGAATCTTGCTTTTTTCTCTTTCCACGCTGAGCCTTAGGTTGCTTTTTAACACGGGGTTTGGGCACTGTTCTAAAATGAGAAGAGAAAAAATGGCAAAGCTTTTACTTTACCATTTGGTGCCTACTTCAGATCTATATAACAGTATTTCCCAGAGCAGTGGTAAATAGAGCTGCGGTCCCCAACCTCAGGGCCAAGGACCGGTACTGGTCCATGCCCTGTTAGGAACCAGATCGCACAGCAGAAGGTGAGTGGCAGGCACACGAGCAAAGCTGCATCTGTATTTACAGCCGCTCCCCATTGCTGGCATCACCGCCTGAGCTCCCCCTCCTGTCAGATCAGTCACTATCTCCCATCACCCCCCAATGGGACCTTCCAGTTGCAGGAAAACAAGCTCAAGGCTCCCACTGATTCTGCATTATGGTGAGTATAATTATTTCATCATATATTACAATGTAATAATAATAGAAATAAAGTGCACAATAAATGTAATGCACTTAAATCATCCCAAAACCATACTGCCCTACCCCCTACCAGGTTCATGGAAAAACTGTCTCTCATGAAACTGGTCCCTGATGCCAAAAAGGTTGGGAGCCGCTGATATATAGGACTGTAACATACACTTGGGAAATGTTAAAAATGCATATTCCTGAATCCTAATCCCTGAGATTCTAATTCACTAGAAATTTGCATTTTCAATATGAAGGTGATTAAAAATACATACACGGCATGGTGTGATGGTATCTCTTTGGTAGGCAATTCAGAAATATCTATGAAACTTAAAAATACGACAATTTTACTTATAGTAATTGATCCTACAGATATGCACCCATCTATACAGGCATAATAAGGTATTCACTATAGCATTATTTACAATAACTGAAGATTAGAAAACTGTAAAGGTTCTTCAACTGGGAACTAAACAGTACTATGTGGCCATAAAAATAAAGAGTACTACGTAGTAATAAAAAAAGAAACAGGGAGTTTTCTATGTACTAACATGAAAAATTTTCCAAGATAAGGAAAGAAATATGCAGAACAAGAAGCACAGAATGCTATTCTCTGTGTAAAGGGAGTAAAAGACAAGAAATAACTACACATATATTTTTCTCATAAATGCATAAAATATAACTGGAAGACTACCTAAGAAACCGTGCCCTGCCACAGACCTACTGGAACACACTAGGGAGATGGCTGCTCTGCAGATTCCCGTGCACATCCCCTGTTGACTCCCATGAAAGCCAGTGTCTAGAAGCTCTTCAGATAAGGGCATCCTCAACTATTCCATCAATAATAAAATGGTGAAAGCAGTAAGAGGAGAGAAATGGAACTCATAATCACATTTATCTGTTACTCTCATGCCTACCATAACCAATCCTAGACAGATAAGGATTTTAAAAATAATGAGTGATATTCTAGAAGACAGAACTGGAGCGACACTTCAGTTTTGAGAGCTTAAATTCAGACGAAAGAAGACAAAACTTAAGTTGATGAATTTCCCTGCGGGGTAGGGGGCAAATACAATTTCCTAGGCCAGAGGTTGGCGAACTTTTCCCATAAATGCCCGGAAAGCAAATATTTTAGGCTTTCCTGGCCAAGAGGCAAAATTGAGGCCATGAAATAGGCACCTACATAACAAGATGAAATAACTTTTCACAAAATTTGACGTTTTGACAAAATTCAAAATAAAATAATCATTAAGTATATTTATTGTGAAATATACCTACTAATGAGAAGAACAGAATTCTTTTTAAGGAGACAGCATTTCACTTAATTGGGGTTCAAACTTACTGCTATCATCGAACTACAAATTAGTAATATAAATGTTTATCTATAAAAGCCATTCTTAGCTCACAAGCCATACAAAGACAGGTGGTTGGTGAGATTTGGCCCAAATCCCATCCTAAGCAATACTACAACAAGGAAAATGTTCCTGGGGCTTTTCTGCCTCCTGCCTTCCTTTTCCTGTCACCAGTACCGTAGGCTGCCATCTGTCTTATCAAAAATTACCAAAATGTGCTGCTAATTCAGCCTACCTCCTCGTCACAATCAGAGTCTCTGATTAGTGTTCTACAGATTATATGAACAAGATAATAAACACTCAAGTATGCTTTAAACTAGGCAAACAGTGTTCTAAACTTAAGAATTAGTTCTCCCAAAAAGAGCTGGTAAGCTGGCCAAACAGGGAATTTTTTGAAAAAACATTCACCCCACCCTAACTAGTCACTGTGAAGTAAGAAGCATGAAGATCTACACAATGCAAGGCTGGCACAAAGTGAACCACAGACATCTAAACCCAGAATCACAACACACCGTTATCGGATTAAGGCCCTCATTCTGCATGACATCATCCTTCTCAAGCTAACACAAATCAAGCTCATCCAGAAGCAGAGATTAAGCAAACAGTGCACCTTCTGGGGGTGGGTCTTCTGGCTTTCACTTTCTTTTGCTCTGGCTCACTCTCTGCACTGGTGCCTTGTTCATGTTCGTCTTCTGAGGGCTCCCGCTTCCATTTTTCTCTGCGATCAAAAGCCAAACAAAATAATTTTTTTTCTAAAAGAATTCTTCAAGCTAAATAATCTGACAAAACCAATTTCGATCTGATTATCCAAAAGGCAGAACATGTATATTTTAGATATGGTAAAAGAGATTTATTCTAGCTCCATGCAAATTATGGTAGTGACTCTTCTTGGACTATATATATCTATTCCTAATTTTATCTCTGGTAACAAAATGAAATGTAGAGGCCAGGCACAGTGGCTCATGCCTGTAAGCCTAGCACTCTGAGAGGCCAAGGCAGGAGGATCACTTGAGGTCAGGAGTTCAAGACCAGCCTGAGCAAGAGAAAGACCCCATCTCTACTAAAAACAGAAAAAACTAACCGGCCAACTAAAAAATAGAAAAAATTAGGCGGGCGTGGTGGCATGCATCTGTAATCCCAGCTACTCGGGGGGCTGAGGCAGGAGAATCACTTGAGCCCAGGAGTTTGAGGTTGCTGTGAGCTAGGCTGATGCCATGGCACTCAAGCCCAGGTGACAGAGCAAGACTCTGTGAAAGAAACAAAAGAAAGAAAAGAAGGAAGGAAGGAAAAAGAAGAAAGAAATGGAAGGAAAAAAGGAAAGAAAAGAAGAAAGGAAAGAAGGGGAGAAAGGAAGAAAGAAAAGGAAGGAAGGAAGGAAGGAACGAAGGAAGGAAGGAAGGAAGGAAGGAAGGAAGGAAGGAAGGACATACTTTTTTAAAAACCATTTATTCTGAAAATAAAATGCTGCTTGATTTGTCATATTCTATTTTGATTTACTACTATCATTGACAAGATTGAAGCACTAATATATATTAGATCAGTGGTTCCCAAATTTTATCATATATCAGAACCACCTAATGGGCTTGTTAAGGACTTTTTGAACAGTAGGTCTCTAGTGAGACTTAAAAAATTGAATTTTAACAAATTAATAGGTGATGCTGATACTTGGGAAAAACTTCTTTGAGAACCACTATACTAAGTCATTAGAATATATTTGAGGAAACAGTCCCTAAAATTATTTTGAATGATAATTACCATGCAACTAAATAATCTATTTATTTAGCTAAAGATGTGGTTTTTAATAATTGTTAGCTAAGGTAGGTATTCCTTTGCTCCTTGAGATCTTAGAAGACTTAAAAGAGCCATAACCTACAAGTGTCCTACTAACCCAAACAGTTTTAGTTTACTTGAAGATTAAACAAGATATCACAGGAAATTAGCTCATTTCTCTCTTGTAGGGAGGAAGCAAGAAACATATAATAGCTACTGGGCATGAAATACCTAAAAAAAAAAAAAAAAGATAGGCAAGTGGCTGGCGTTTCTCTGTAAATAAAACAACCTCTAAATCCCTTTATATAGAATGAGGTCATGTTAAAGACAACTGGTGCAGAATTGCAAAGTCAAATCAATATTCCTCATGTGAGAAGTCAAAGTAATAGTGAAAGCTGGCTGCAAGAAGGGAGGTGATCTGCAGATTCCTGAGAAACTTCCTAAAAGTTGCAGCAGTCACGCTGTATCTGAACTGCTAGAGACCTTAGGAAAAAAACACAATTCAAGCCTTCCACGAACAGTCAGTGGAGTACTTTTAAGTACGTTACTGAACTTCTACTAGCACTGTGTATTTTCATATCTATTTCCCCAACAGTGGGTGACTCCTTGTATGCCAGGCCGTTTTTGTTCACCTTTGCACCAGAGTCTAGCAGAAAGGCAAAAAAATGGAGATGCTCCTTTGTTAAGGAAAAAAAAATCAATTAACTAATGAATGATATTAGTCTCTCAGTCAGACAAATAGGGTATTTTTGGAAGCAGACTAGTAAAACAATCAGGCCCGTTAGTATTATCTAACATCCTTCGGTCTCTCTTTAAAACAAAGACCTCCTTATATCTAACCACAGTCTGGGAACCTGTCTAATTATGCTTCCTTAGAGCCTAGTACAATAAACGTTTGCTATAGAATTCAAGGAATAAAAGGTGATCACCGGGAAAGAAGGAAGGAAGATGTGTACAGCAACTGGGAGACAGGCACATGAGTCTGCAGACTCCCTTGGACCAAGTCCAGAATAGTTTACCCTTCAGAAGGGGTTCTCACATTCGAACTGGAGAGAAGTAGTTTCACAGGAAACAAGCCTGAAGGAACAATTAAGACCCAAGGGAGAATCAGATGAGAAGGATCCACAGTCACATTGTAATTTACACATCTTCTCCAGGAACTGAGAACCTAAAACACGGCCACCAATGAAGTCCACTTCTACAAGTATAGGAGACCAAAATGGCAGCAAACACTGATAAAATGGATGTTGAGGCTAGTGTTTTCCAGTTAAATTACAAGTTTATAGACTCATGGACAACCAGGAGGACTTAGAATCTCCCAATATAAAAATGTAAAAAAACCTAGTAAATCAACTGGTCCAAAGCCTTCCTCCCAGAAAAGGAAACTAAAGCCCAATGAGAAACAAGCTGCTTAACAAGCAGCATAACAGCCCCCCAGACCTGTTATTCGCAATCATAACTCACTGAGGACCAACAAGGAAACATCAAAGCCAGGTTTAAACATTCTGGGAAGATCTGAACAACTAGAGACTTAAAAGGCCTGATTGTGTGTGTAAATATATTTGAAATTGGCTGGATTATTTTTAAGTTTTGTTTTAATTTTCAAGAATAAGAAAAAAGAAAGATCAACAACACTAAATCACTTTGAAGAAGGGGTGAGGTAAAAAAAGAATGATTGATCAGTTACAAATAGATTACTTCCCAACCCTACAGACGTATAGGGCTGGCCCATGTTTGAAACTGCTATTCACTCCTACATTACTGGCTTCTTATAAAATGCAAATTTTATGAAGATCCCTCCACCAAGCCACAGGTTATAAGTCAGGCTACAATGAAGAAGAGTCTAAGATATGAGACTGAGTAAAAATATTTCCTTTATCAAAGGAGACTTGCCATATCCAGCTTTAAGAGGGCACCAATGGAATTCCCTAGATTCCCTACAAGGAAATCAATGGACTCTTTGACAAAATTCTGGGAATTGCGGAGAAAAACACCACGATTTAGCCAGTGATGCCCCAAGAAATGTGAAAAAGTCAGAATGTAAGTGGGTATCATTTTCTTCCTTTATTGGGAAAAGGTGGATGGCAAGACACAAATCCTAAGAGAGACAATTCAAATCTAATCAATTGTAAAGCAGGGCATGAACAAAAGCCACTTTTAAATATAATGAACCTGAACTTTGACCAAGAGTTACAAGGCTTGCTATTAGCTGTCTCTATGAGCCTAAAGAAAATTCCACATTTAGAAGGCAGATCACGAAAAGAAGGACTTTAACTTCTTCAATTTTCAGTAGATTTCCCCAAGAAAGGATGCCTTCCATGAACAGGAAGAAGAAAGAAGAAAAATCTGGGTTAATACAAATTCCCTTCCAATGTCGCAGGTTTGCAACAGATTCCCAACTCAAAACACTGGAAAGGAATAAATAACTATTACCCCACGAGAAAGACTTCACATGATGATGGCTAAAATATTTTAAAATTCCAGGTGAGAGAAAAGATTTTGGAACCATTAAAGAGTATCTTTAAGCATAATTGAGACCATGAGTCAGCAGAAATCATACACAACATTGCCCAAATTTGGATAGCATTAATAGATATGACATGAAAAAAGAGTTTAATGATCACAACAGCATAACAGCATAAATTGATTAAATAAAATTGAAAGTTTTTTTGTTTTCATGACTTTAAATCAGGGCTTTCAGTCTCAAATACTTACTGGGGCCAGGTAAAGAATGCAAACAGGGTCAAATGGAGAACTCATGGTCGTTCTCATGTTTCCTGGGCCAGTACTGACAGATTTTCTCAAAAGAAGGTAGAAATACAGATTCTTATGCACTATCCCATTGTGCTGTGTAACTTCTCAGCTTTAAAAATGCTAATACACTTCATGATTCTGGGGAATTAGTCTCTTTATAATTCTCAAAAGGACACAGTCCCTTGTAAGACTACATTCTTCAAAAACGTTGATGTCGTAAAAGCAAAGAAAGGCTGTGAAAGTGCTCCAAATTAAAGAAACCTAATAACTAAAGGCACTATCTGATCCTAGACTAGATCCTGTAGTGGAGGGGGGAAAATGTTACAAAAGACATTATTGGGTCAATTGACAAAAGTGGAATGAAAATTAGACAAAAGTACTTCAGCAATGTTAAAAATCTATTTAAGCTGAAACTATACTGTGCTTATGAAAGAAAATATCGTTATTCTTATGACATATACTCTTAAGCATTTAGGGGTAAAAAGATCATGACATATGAAATTTAATCTCAAATAGTTAAGAAAAAATATTATGTGTGTGTATTTATAAATACATATAAAGAGAGAACCCACAACAGTAAAGCAAATGGAGCAGAAATGGTCATCACTGGTAAATCTGGGTAAAGTACCTAAGACGATCTTTGTACCACACTTGTATTCCTGCAACTTTTCTAAAGTTTGAAATTAACTTTTTAAAAACCTGTTTAAAAAACAATTCTTTGGGGTTTTTTTTTGTTTCTGTTTTTATTTTTATTTTTTAAAGAGATAGGAAGCAGGGTCTTACTCAGTTGCCTGGGCTGCTGGATGGAGTGCAGTAGTGTGATCATAGCTCACTGTAACCTGGAACTCCTGGGCTCAAGTGATCGTCTTGCCTCAGCCTCACAAGTAGCTTGGACTACAGACATGTCTCACTACACCGGCTAATTTTTTTCATTTTTTAATAGAGACTGGGTTTCACTGTGCTGCCTAGGCTGGTTTCGAACTACTGGCCTTAAGTGATCCTCCCGCCTTGGCTTCCCAAAGTGCTGGGATTACAGGTGTGCGCCACCATACAGTTCCTTTTTCAGACCTGAGTCTGTTTAGAGAAAAAACAAAACAAAACAAATCCCAGTTCCTTTTTAAAAACTTTAAAATCTGTAAATACAATCCACAAGGTCTCAGAAGAATATTTCCTTGTGCTAATATTTCAAAATTTTCACTCCCTTTGAGTGAGTCTCTCTCAATTCTGAAACTCACGTGCCCATAGTCACACTTGCTCAGATCACAGAGGGCTCCTATAGTGCTGTGGACCTCCCCTAATTAATCTTTCAGGAATCAAAACTGACTCAGGAGATGAGCTCCCTGTAAAACCATAGTACTCATCAGCTGCCTAGTAGACAGCAGAAATAAGGCTAGCCAGTGCCCAAACACACAAGCATGAGGGAACTACTTCAGCTCAAGGCAAGTTCCTAAAGAAGAGTCCCAGAATGGGGGAGTAATATTAGAAAGAAGACAGATACTACCCTGCAAGGAACTAAGAGGTACTCAGGGAAAGGTCCATGAAGACCTCTGAGGGTTGCCAACTTTGGGGAGCTCCTAAGACTGTTAAGTAGATAAGCCACTCACCAGAATAAATGTGAGGTGTTACCCAATGGCTGAAAAAAATGCTGGCTTCCACACACACCGGGAAGAACATTAAAATGGGAAGTTGAAGATTTCGAGCACAGCATCATTTAACTCCAGGCTAGAGACCAGCAGACCGTAGCCAGATGGAGAAAGGAGGAGGACATGCACGTATTTCCCACAGTGTGGTCAAGGTGGACATTTCAAGAAAGATCCCCGAAAGGCCATTAGACCAATAAGCAGAGAACAGAATCTCCCAAGCAGACCGTGGGACTGGGGTAGAACAAAAGCCTTCCAAGATGCCAAAAACAACAGGTTTGCTTACAGTCACTATTTCCAGCTCTAAGTAAATATTTAAAAATTGGATGTACTCTGGCAAGACAATATTAACTACATGACTTTTCTGTAAAGTTCTGCAATACTCTACATATAATGCAAAATCTCGGCGTAGTTTCTAATAACCCTGTTGGGTAGGTAAGAATAAGTATTACTCTATTTTGGAGAGGAGGAAATGGGTTTTAAAAAAATCAAATTGCTGGCCTTTGGCCTCTTATTAAAGACTGGTAATATTTTAGAACACATAATATGTAACTAGAAGCCATGGACAATTGTTTAACATTAGAACCTCTGAAATGTTGTGCAAAGTTTTGAACATCTACACTCTTCTGAGAGAAGACACAGAATTCAGATTGTCAAAGGGTTCCACTCTCTCTCCAAAAAAAGATTTTAAAAGTTATTTCTCAAAAAATCCAAATAATTTTTCACCATATAATTTTTTTAAATTAAAAAATGAACATGTAATCCATGTTATAAGGTAATTTCACATTAAGCCTAGGAACTGAAATTTTCTGGCCTATGAAGTACATTAAAATTATACAGAAATATGTAATTTCATACCAAATTGGATACCCAACCAATAATTTTGCCATGCCAACACAAAGAACAAATGAAAATGAAAAATGGCAAACCTAAATTTGTTCCTTGCTAAAATACCAAATACCTATATATTTGTTGTTTATGCATATTTAAAACGAACAAATAAATGGGCTAATGGGGATAACCGGATGGAAGAAGCTATGGTTTGTCCCAAGAAACAGCCGAAGCATACGCAGAATTCTTGCATGTGTTAAACTGAGAATCTTAGGATTCAAATGCCATTGCTGCTACTGCAGCAGGTCAAAATAGACAGTGACCCAAGCTAGTAAGAAACAGAAGCAGACTCTGGGACCTGGGTAGACTTTATGAAGACACAATGAAGGTAGCCCTTGAAATGCTGACATGTTCGAAACTACTAAATTAAGTAATTTCCCCCAAAAAAGACTTACTGTTTTTTCAGCTGCCTCTGGCCTCTTCTTTTTGGGCTCCCACTCTCAGACCCGCTACTTGCCTTCAGTGTGTGAGGGGGGAAAAATGATTACAGACTTTAATTCACAGTTCTTTGGGACAACACTACCTTCTGGTTTAACAATCTACTCAATATAGCATTAATTCAACATGAGCTTTTAGACAAAAAGAAACCTAAGCCCTTGTTTGGTGAAGTTCATTCTTCTTTTCCTTTGAAAATTTAATGTGTCTCTGTTATTACAGAGTGATCTTTAAAGGCAGGAAATTTTTAACTCAGCTTGACTTCCAGAACAGCAACATGGAATAAAACTTTCTACAATAATGTAAATGTTCTGTACCTGTAATGTCCAACACAGATCCGTCAACCACATGTGTCTACTGAACACTTAGAATGTGCCTGGACAGTAACTGAGAAATGGAATTTTTAATTTTACTTAATTTTAATTGATATGAATTCTAAAAGCCACAAGTGACTAGTGATGACTATACTGGATACTGCAACCCTAGAATATCAAATGAAAACGCTACAACATTTAGTCAGTGTGCCTAGTCATCTCACACTCATTAAAGAGCATGCTCAATCATGAGCCAGCGGTGCTCTGCCAACAGCACTAGGCCATGGAAAGTTACGGTCACAGATATTTCAACAGCTCTTCTTCCCCAAAATTAAGCAACGTGGAAACTATTCCTGTTGCTGTTAGTGTCTTGTATTCTACAGAGAATGTGTTAATACATAAAAGAGGAAAAGATTTATACAACTATATGATTGGTTATAACAAATACGGCTCAGGAACCTAGTGCTACACACTATGGAAAAAGAAAGTAAAGGCAAACCAGCTCACAGGTCACTCAAAATAAAACATCACAAATGTAATGAAGATGTTAAGGCGAATTAGATTTTTAAAGTACATTTACGAAAAACCCACACCCACCTCACTAACCTTTGGATAGCAATGTTACATAGCTAAGAATAGCAAAGTCCTCCTAAGAAGACAGAAAGGGGACATTTCACTAAGACAAAAAAGTATCTCATCAGAATCTAGTCTATAAACCTAATACAGAGAATAAGAATCCGTAAAAATACCACACAAACTGAAAAAAGTGAAAAAAGTCTAATTCTATAGATAACCAAGCCTAATACACAGTATCGATTTAAAAATCACCAACCTATTCAATCTCTCCCCGTTAACACAGAGAGTAAACGTTTGAAATTCATTTTATATCTCACACCAAAAATGTGCTAAGAAACCAAATTTAAAGAAATTAAATAAGATAAAATAACATTACTTTAATCACTCCCTACTACTTCCTTTCTCAGGAATAAATCCAAAACTATTTCCACTGTTTTCTTTGTTTACCAAACAAGTTACTCATTTAACAAAATCTAGAAAATTTAGAAGCTAGATGTTTAAAAAAGTAAACTCCTCGTTATAATCAATTTTCACTATGAAAAACTTAGAAAAAAATTTTAGGCCAATTCTGTATAATATTCTAATACTCTACCAAAATATTCACCATTATATGATCGTTCTGGTAAGTTTCTTTTATTTTATTAACTTCTTACCTTACTGTATATGTGTTCATAGGAAGCTCACATTAGAGCCACTAAACTACTATGCCAGAAGTTCCATCTTGTTAATGGTAATACACACCAGAGTGAGAAAGGATGAGGTAAGATAAGGAGTTCAAATGTATCGCCTTCGACCATTTTTTTCTTACCTCTTCCTTAATATTAAATCGTGAGGGTTCTTGTCTGCTTCGGTTGGACCGCCTGACCCCATAAACATCAGGATATTCTTCCCACATCTGTAAAATTAATAAACCATGTATAAATCTTTTTTCTTGATCCCCATTGACTATTTTCATTACTGGAACATTTATTTCAATTCAAGAGAATTCAAGTAACTAAGTATCAAAAGGGCTGTATTACTAGTTTTGTTTGAGACAATAAAGCACCATTTTAAAAAATAACAAGATTATTCTACAACACATTAAAGTTAAACAATGTCCTTAATGGCTATAAAACTATATGGTACACTGCCCACTGATCATTAAAATATAAACTTACAGTTGAATAATATGGCAAGGTAAGACAGCAATTGCTTCCACTAAAGACAGAGTATTTACCGACGAATTCTAAAAGCCTTAATGCTTTGAGTTTCCATTGAGTGCACTGACCCACGTGAGAAACTCAAAATACAAGAAGCAGAGCCCCATTAAGTCTATTAATTAAATAAGAATCAGGGTTCAGGGTATTTGTATTTTTAAGTTCTCGGGTGATGTATTGATAATATCCTAGATATGTGCAGATGAGACATTTCTGACATTTGGCTAAACATTCTCAGAATGAGAACCACTGCCACCCTTTCTCTAGCACACCTATTTTTATTCTTTAGCTCTAATTAGCCCTGTGCCTTTAAGACCTGACTTTCAGTAAGAATCCGCACCAGCAAGGGATTAGTTCGGGAGAAAAATTCTTGTCACCCTCCTCTTCCCAGAGATAACTACCGCTAAGTATATTGTGTTCCTTTAATAAAATCAGATATAAGCACAGGGAATTTGAATGGATTGTAGAACACTGACATGAAGATGTTTAAAAATAATTCAACGTGTAGAAGACACGCTTTAAAGCCAAGATGAAAAACATGGGTTTGTCATCAAAACACAGGTGACAGCTAATGTCATGAAAATATTTGGAAATGTGAGGCTCAGAACATATACAAGAGGAGAAACCACTTGGCTGAAACTCATGAAATGTTTGCATTAAAAACTGTGGAAAGCAGGCAGATGATGTCTGTTTTCACAATGGTCTTCAGAAGCCCACTATGGGCACTGCTGAATGCCACTTGGTAAAACCGATGCTGGAAGAAAGAAAAAAATTATGGAAAGTAGGTTGGGCTCAGTGGCTCACGTCTGTAGTCCTAGCACTTTGGGAAGCCAAGCAAAGAGGACTGCTTGAAGCCAGGAGTTCCAGATCAGCCTGGGCAACATAGTGAGACCTGTCTCTACAAAAAAGAGAAAAATTAGTCAGGTGTGGTGGTGGGCACCTGTAACCCTAGCTACTTGATAGGCTGAGGCAAGAGGATCACTTGAGTCCAGGAGTTTGAGGTACACTCTGGCCCAGGTAAGAGAGCAAGACCCTGTCTAAAAAGTAAATAAGTGTGGAAAGTAGAACTCCAAAAGTACAAAATTTATAAAAGATGATGCACAAAAACACAATGTCACCAAGCCAAGGGAGGACATTATCAACAGTGACTTAATAAAAAATGCTGGAATGAACTGAAGAAAAACAGAGCCTCAAAACAAGCCAGATGGCCCAGGAATAGCCATTTTAGAACCAGAATCCAATGTAATCGCATAATCCAGTGTTCTCAGATTCCGTAATGGCCTTAGAATCACCTCGGAGTTAAAAGACAAAAGGTCCAACCAGAAGAAGTTAGGAATAACCAAGTGGTAGGAAATATAGGTGGATGACTCAGTAAATGAAGAACGATGAACAAATCCAACTCGAAAGGAAGGAGAGAAAGAACTTTTGTCTGTCTATCCACTGCCACCTCTTTTTGCACCTCTGCTAGACCTATGAAATTATCTATGTATTTTACTTGACACAGGCTTATATGGAGCCTTCATGAACTAGGGTAGCTAAGACACTTAAAGGTCACTGTATCGCTTAGTTTTATCACCTTAAGATACTAGCTAAGCATTCTAGCTCAACTGTTGTGACTTTATACACTGTGGCAGGGGGCACCCAACGCCTATTTGCAAGGCCGCATCTGAGCCTTCATGGGCTCCTTCTTGCCATTAAAAAAATATATTAAGGGTTATATTGTACAACTATGATGGTATAAAGACAAATACATTTGTATTATATATTAAAACATTTTCTTCCATTTAAAAGTTCATTTTCTCTTTTGATTTTAAAAGAAATTAAAACATTTTCACGGGTCCCTAAAAGTATTGTGGGCCCTTAGCACTGTGCTTGCTATGTATGATTATTATTCATTTCCAGAGGAGTTAGAGACAGGGCTGGGATTAAATGACAGAGACCCCGAGTATGCCTCTTGCCACGCCCTAGCCCTGCCCTGGCAAGATCTTGGGGCTTTCCAGGATGCCACCTGGAGGAGCAGGGGTGGTGAGGGGACACGGGGAAGCCACATGACCTCAAGGAAGCAGGCTATCATGCTTACATCTTGTGGTCACATGTGTCCTTCTGAGGATTGATAATATCTAATTAAACTCTTCTATGAAAAAGCTACCAGTGTAGTTACTCACTACTGCATACTCCGACATGAGTAATGAAGTTTTCTTGGGAGGGGAGACCTATCGTGAAAAGGACGCATGAACAGAAAACAAAGAGCCTTCTTTAGAAGTTCTTGTTTCAGAATAATGATCACTAAAAGTGCAATTCACTCATTGTGACTGGCTAGCAGGTCCATCGCCATGTATATGTTATTAACCTTCTGAAACTAATCATCTTAACCTTAAAAGTATATTTTAATGTTTCTGCCTAGAGTTGTACTTTTATCTTGAAATTCAACCTCGGTAATGCTTTCTCTTTCTCTCTCTTCTTATCTTCTTAAATGAAGTTAAATATTTAAGGTCTTAGAGTGGAGTCTTCTGAAAAGAACACCTGGTCTCCAGGCTCTGAAGATCGCTAAGCCAAGACCTCTGCCACATGCCTGGGAGGCAGATTTCTGAGTTTAAGATACTTGGGCCAAGATCTTTAAGTGGTACTTCTATATGCAAAGACTTTTTTAAAAAATCACCACCTGAATTATCTTTTTGAAAGATATACTACACCCTGAGCAGACAAGAAACAACAACTTAAGCGTCTGAAGGTCACTTCTCTGGTGATGTGTTAATCAGCAATGACGACTTTCATTTTCCTGTCTCTGACACTGCCATCAGCATTCCCCACCCTCCCACCAGCTCCTGAAAGTCACATACCATTAAGCAATGATTATGCTGGGAAAAGAAAAACTGAAATAACGTGGTTAATCCCAAATTTGTCTCAAGAATTAAAAGCAGTTTTTTGTTTTGTTTGTTGAAGGTAATCTGTAGAATTTGCAGGTATTAATAACTTAAAATCATCTGTATTATGAAAATCTGAGTATGCAGAATATAGATTCATATGTTAAAAGAGTATGGCTTAAATAAAAAGTTCTTTAGCATAAAGCTTTTTATTTCATTAAAATGTTTTATTTTTAATTTTTTTTTTTTTTTTTAGACAGAGTCTCACTCTCTTGCCCGGGCTAGAGTGCTGTGGCGTCAGCCTAGCTCACAGCAACCTCAAACTCCTGGGCTCAAGCGATCCTCCTGCCTCAGCCTCCCGAGTAGCTGGGACTACAGGCATGCGCCACCATGCCTGGCTAATTTTTTCTATATATATTTTTAGTTGTTCGGCTAATTTCTATTTTTAGTAGAGACAGGGTCTCGCTCTTGCTCAGACTGTTCTCAAACTCCTAAACTCAAACAATCCTCCTGCCTCAGCCTCCCAGAGTGCTACAGGCGTGAGCCACTGTGCCCGACATTATTTTTAAATTTTTAAAAGTAATTTTCATTTGATTTTCAGTGACTCAAATGTAATTCTCTCAAAATAAAATTTTAAAGATCAGCTACATTCTAATGATTTTTTTAGACCAAGTAATTAATTTTCCATCAAAAAGAATGCACTACAAAGTTTGAGCATCAATGAGAAAATGTTACACAACTCAAATTTTACCTTTTTACATTCTTTGCTAGAAGCTGCTTTTCTGAAGCAAAAAATACCTACATTGCCTAGGTACAGACATGCTTTTCTATAGAACTATTTTGTTTCCATTATTCAGATAACAAAAACTGTCTTTATCCTTGGATTATGATTACCTGTCAATAAGCTTTATAACTGTATTCCACAATTAAAAGAACAGTTGCTATTATCTGTCAATGATTGTTCTCTAGTATTAGTCAGCAGAGTATGAAAATATAATTTTAACCATCTTTTTAAAAGAGTAACAATCAAAACTATAAAAATTTGTCTTTTTGCCCTATAACTGGATGGTTCACATAACTGAGTATCTTCCTTATAAAGCCCTATTTCACTATATCAATTAGTAGAGCAGAAGCAGTACCCATTTGAATCCACAGACAGTACTGTATATTATTAGAAAAGGTGGCTGTAGTTTTCATTATCAAAATATAATAATGAGTTTTTATAGGCAATAAAGGTCTGCTGGCTGGTCCTAGCTAGCAGCACATTTGTACTGGACAGCAAAGTAGATACCTTCTTCACATCAGCTATCCGTTCCTTCTTAGAGGCTGGCTTCTCTTTGGCTTCTGGAAGAACTGGCTGGGATTTGGAACCTGCTGATTCACTCTCAGATTCCGACTGACTCTCAGAAGATTCAGAACTGCTATTCGACTCGCTGCCATGTCCACTTCCTGGATCACTGCCCTGCTCACTTTCCGATTGACTGCCTGAGTCTGAACCTGAAGCTTCTTCAGAGGCTGAATGACTTAATTTTAAAAGAGAGAAAGACAGATTTAGCAACATTTAAGAACTGCCAAATGAATCTGCTTTTTAAAAAATCCTCGTGGTAATATGTCAGCAGATAGTAATTTTGGTAACATAAGATCAAAAACTTCAAATTCATTTTTATATTCTTATATTGCAAATAATGTTATTATTAACAGTATTGTTCTCGACATTCCCAATAGCTACCATTTCCTAAGTGTTTATATGATGCCATATACCTGTTGATTTACACAGATTAGCTCTTTACACAAACTCTGAAGGTGGATATTATCATTCCCTTGATTCAGATGCAGTAAAACTGAAGCTCAGAAGTATTTAACTCTCAGGCCTAGCTGACACAGTAAGACTTGAAACCACGTAGATCTGAATTTACTAAGTCTTATCGGTTAAATGTCATTCCCCACTCTGGACAAAATCAAACCAAACCAAACCAAAAGAAAACAAAAGCATGTTACCCAAAGTGGAAGAATGCAATATGGTTGCAATTATCCAATCAGTGTTTTTCACTAATAGGTACAAATTACACTCATCTGGGGAGCTTTATAAAAATATATATAATTAACCTCAATTCAGAGGTCCTACTTTGGCATCTCCTGCAGTGAATCCCACACATGGTAGACTTAACAGAAAAAAAAAATTTGGATTCTGATAAGAACACCTAATCCAATAAAGACTGCTATTGGCCTACACATACTCCCCTCCCCTTCCTCATTCCAATCATCCCTTAGGGAAGAGCAATCTAAGCAGGTAGACGACAGCTGAAACCACAAAACAGAAACGATGAAGACTGAGGGATGACAGAGTATCAACCTCAAGTGCAGAGAAGGCAATATACCCACCTTCTCTAACAGAGAAAAGCAATTGAGGGGCATGCTGGTAGGAGCAAAGACAGTTTAAAGCAAAAAGACCTAAAGTCAATGGACTCTACAGCAAAACAGGTGGACACCTCGTTCAACTCTTTTGCTGGAAAACTATCTTTTCACTGAGGGAGCGGAAGAGGGAGGCAGAACAAAGAAGGGGAGGGCAAGGAGCAACAAAGAACCTACAGTAACATTAACTTAACAGAAAGGTCCTTGAGTTCAGCAACTGGGAGATAAAAGACCTGTGGTACGAAGCGGGAAAGGATAAAGAAGAGAAGCTTCATATTTACATCACCATATCTTCCAAGCTAGCAATGAGGGTGTACCACCTGACCAATATCTCTGTAGAATGAACAGGGCAATACACTGGAAGCTGGGAGGGACCCAGATGATACCCTGTGATCCATAGTAAGATCCACATCACGGTACAGAAGCCTTTCAGTTACAAAAGCAATGAGAAAAAAATGGAAGGGAAGGAGGACGTCTCTACCTCGGGAAGGGTAGAAAGATGGAAAAACGGTGTAATTACCTGATCACCTGACAGGTATCAGGCGTTATGCTAAGTATAATACTTTGTATGTATTATTTTACTTACTCCCCATAACAACCACATTAGGCAGTATTATCCCCATATGAAGGGTAAAAAAACTGAGAAGTTTTAAGTAACTTGGCCAATGACAAAACTAGAAAGTGTAAGGGGTGGGGGATGCAGGGAGAGAGCAGAGTCTGGCTCTAAAACCCATATTCTTTGTTTTACCATAAGAGGGTCAAAACCTTAAGAGACTCAGAAAATAAATCTTAACCCTGTTATACAATGTCCCCAAACAGGCATCCTGTAACAAGTGACTCAACACTTTCAAGGCCTCATTATAATTACTGACTCACACCTTTGCACAGTTCAAGCTGACATCTGAGTCACCAAACAGAAAGCGGTCACCAAGCAATAGAAAAGAAAGAGGAAGGGTCGAATAGTAACACTTAAAAGGCACAGGCTCTGGCATCCAAGGCTTGGGTTTCCATCCGAGACCACCTCAGGCCTGGCCATCCTATGTGACATCTACCTGTAAGGTTATGAGAGCATCAAATGACAGCTATGAAAGCAACACTCTATAAATGCCAAAGCCTTACCCAAACAGTAAAAAACTGGGAATATCACATCCAAACTCAGATTTACTTCGTAACACAAAGTTCTCCCCAGCTAACACTCACTCTGTTGCCCAGGCTGGAGTGCAGTGACTCAATTATAGCTCACTGTAAACCTGTAACTCCTGGGCTCAAGCGATCTTCTCCCCTCAGCCTCCTGAGCAGCTGGGACTACAGGTGTGCGCCACCACTCCTGACTAATTTTTACTTTCGTTTCTTTGTAGAGACGGGGTCTCACTGTGGTGCCAGGCTAGTCTCAAACTCCTGGCCTCAAGCTATCCTCTGTTATCCACTGTTATCCTCCAAAGAAGCCTATGCCTTCCAAAGTGCTGGGATTACAGGTGTGAGCCACCGTGCCTAACCTGTACATACCCTCCTGTGCAGCTGTGTTTCTCTGTTTGTGTGGGAGAGTGATCCCCAGAAATCTAACAATGTATATACCTTTTAGGTGAAAAACACAGTCATTTTTCTATCATATATATGTAAATGCATGTTAACCACCAAATTGCTAACAGTAGTTTATTCTGTTGGATGAGTTATTTGAAGTATACTTGTAGATTCCATGGATTGTGTAATTTCAAAGAAAAAGTAACTATGAAAATCAGATCCAAGAAAAGATAAATACCAAATTCACACTTGTATTTACCTCTGTGGGTTGAGGGAGGCAGATGTGATCAGAGAATAATATTGGTGACATTTTATGACTGAAGCTTAGAGTTGAATTCATGGTTGTTCATTACATGTTTTAAATATTCTTAAAGTCTAAACTAGTTAATTGTCTAAAATAAATCCAACCAAGAGTCAAACGCAAGGCAAAGGATGAAAGTACATACAATCCTACACAAAATGACCTAAAGATCTCAATGGGTCTAAGAAAAGTGTTTTAAAATTGTTTTTGGAACCAGCAAGTCAGATGTAATATTCAGGGGGGAGACGCTTAAAAAAAAAAAAAAAAGTTTTAATAAAGGCATTACTTAATTCTCATACTTCTCATAGGAGAACAACTTGCTAAATGTTGAAATGAAAAAAAAATTCTTTTTAAAAAAAACATTGAAAATACCTCCACATTTAAGGCACTGGCAGTCTAATTATTCCCTCAAGGGATAGGACATTTCTAAAAGATTATGTAGATTTGCTATTAATAACTAATTACAATACTAAATACGATTAGTACTAAACTGTACCTTTCATGCTGGTTTACAGTATTAATAGCAGAGGAGGCAGAAAGACCACGAGACTCTAATAAAAAGGGTCAAACTGAGTGAGGAGTCCTTTAAACTTTACTCTAAACACTAAAGTAATAAAATTACTTTATTTCCAAGGGGTTAATAGTTATAAGGCCATTATGGAATTTTTTCAGGAAATTACCCATTACATACAGAATCCTCATGAAAAACAAGTTTATCTCAAAATTACTCAAAATCTACATTGAAAACAAGTTTTATAATTTTGATTTAACAAATAATTAGGCCGGGCGCGGTGGCTCACGCCTGTAATCCTAGCACTCTGGGAGGCCGAGGCGGGTGGATCACTCAAGGTCAGGAGTTGGAGACCAGCCTGAGCAAGAGCGAGACCCCCGTCTCTACTAAAAAAAAAAAAGAAAGAAATGATCTGGACAACTAAAAATATATATATATAGAAAAAAATTAGCCGGGCATGGTGGCGCATGCCTATAGTCCCAGCTACTCGGGAGGCTGAGGCAGAAGGATTGCTTGAGCCCAGGAGTTTGAGGTTGCTGTAAGCTAGGCTGACGCCACGGCACTCACTCTAGCCCAGGCAACAAAGCGAGACTCTGTCTCAAAAAAAAAAAAAAAAAAAACCACAAATAATTACAAGGGAAATGCAACATAAAACTAAAGAAAACGAATTCAAGTCAAAACTGGGATTTTAGATTCCAATAGAAAAGAAATGCTTATTGAGAAAAAAGTTTAACACTTCCTTTCACTTGTGGATAAAAAGGATATACTGTCCCTTCAAAATTCTTTCTGATGTAAGTAAAAATGGAGAGATTAAATATTTCTCACAAATGGACTTTGAAAGCAAGCAACATTAACAGTTATTGTTCTATTTTTAACTTTTCATCAGCATTTCCAAAATGGCCACAAGAGGGCAGCACAGCAACATTCCACTTAAAAGGAGCAAGCCTGTGTGGGTTCTCAGCCCAAGAGCCGCCATTTCAGTTGAGTACTGTTTATTTTCCTAACAACTTACAAAATGGCTGAACGGCTTGGCAGAGCTTGGTGTTTTTGATTATGAAAGCAAAATCTGGCAAAAAATGCAAAGCAATCTACACCAGAATTCCATAAAACTTATTTCCAGACTAAGTTTCTATCAATGATAGAATAGCTAATATTTATGGAGCACTTATGTGTCAGACATATGCAAAAATTTTCCTAATCCTTACAATAACCCTATAGCCCAATTGTGTGTGTATGTCGCCCTACAGTCTGAATTAAAGAATCCACACTATCAACCTTTATGTGGTACTGCTGCCCTTGTCATACCTACATTTTTCAGTTGAACAGAGGATTAACCAAGTTTATACATAACTATTCCTTCACAGTCACTCCTATGTGTCTTAAGAGGATGTAAAGGCAAAGATTAGTAAGTCACAAATTTCCTACTGGTAAAGAATATTGGAGTTCTATGGCCAGGTGCGGTGGCTCACGCCTGTAATCCTAGCACTCTGGGAGGCCAAGGCGGGCGGATTGTTTGCACTCAGGAGTTCGACACCAGCCTGAGCAAGAGTGAGACCCCGTCTCTACTAAAAATAGAAAGAAATTAATTGGACAACTAAAAATATATAGAAAAAATCAGCCGGGCATGGTGGCACACGCCTGTAGTCCCAGCTACTCGGGAGGCTGAGGCAGGAGGATCGCTTGAGCCCAGGAGTTTGAGGTTGCAGTGAGCTAGGCTGACACCACGGCACTCTAGCTCAGGCAAGAGAGTGAGGCTCTGTCTCAAAAAAAAAAAAAAA